CCCCCCCCCCCCCCCCCCTTCCCTGGGATGTACTTGCATCACTCATACCCCGGCAAGGGGGCGTGACCAAAGGTCAAAGGAAGTTGTTGCCTGTGACACAACGAGGCAAATTAAGGACCCTGTGTGACACTACGAAAGAAAACAGTAAAAAAAACGCTGCCAGGTTTTGCTAAAGGCACCAAGATGGCCCGTCTGTCGGCGCACCGTAGGAACAACGCCATCTATTGTACCACTCGTCCGTCCTTGTTGGCTCACCGTTCCCCGACGTTGAGGAACTGAAACCGCTCCTTGGTGACGATCAGATCCTCGAGGCCGGAGAGCCACATGAAGGGCTCGCGCGGGGGCGGCAGCGCGCGAGTGCTGCAAGGCTCGACCGCGTCCTTCATAGCCTGCCGTCGCAATGAGGTCAAGATGCAAGATGCAAGGGGAAGCAGACAGGAGGGACGGAAGATTGAGCTTCATCAACATGACCGGGTCGCGGAGCTCAACAAGGGAGCACCGGCTCAGAGTTCAGAGCACAACACCATGCGTGCCTGAACCCTAGCGTTACATCTTACCCGAAGACAACGCGGTATATTTGGACAAGATACGCCCCATGGGAAGTAGAGTGTGGCTTATTTGCAGCATACGCGACGGAGTAATAAATCCATGGTCTTTTTTCCTGATCGTCTTTCCCTTTGTTCGTCGCTGCGGGCATCCAAGAATGTGTGACATTCCTCATTCATCTTCGATGCACATACACACACACGCGTTTTTTCTCCGCCCTCCCCTTCCTTCTTGCCTTGATGTGCGCCGGGGTCGACCCACAGCAGCCGCCGAGCATGTTGATGAGCCCTTCCTGGGCGAAGAGGAGGTTGTCGCGAGCCATGTCCTCGGGGGTGTCGTCGTAGCCGCCCATGGCGTTCGGCAGCCCCGCGTTGGAGTAAACGTGGACGAAGCACTCCGCCACCTGGGCGAGGCGCTGCAGGAACGGCCGCATCTGGGAGGCCCCAAGGGCGCAGTTGAGCCCGACACAGAAGGGCTTGCAATGCCTCATGGACACATAGAAGCCCTTGCAGAAGGAAGCAGTCGACGGTGTGGCGTGGAGGAGACAGGCACGGTGTGGGGATCCGACGAGGGGTTATCACCTGCCAGAAGGCGTGTCTCTCTCAGGGACATCACGAGCATACCGCACGGTGGTACTCCTATACGGTACCGTTTATGCACTTCACCACCGAAGGCGTCGCGGTTCACGTACATCTGTTGCACCCCGGAGCAATCGCGCAGCCGCAACAGGCGACTTGTGCCGCCGATTAAAAGCAACAACCAATTCAAGTTGAACCTCCCACGCGGTTAAGCACGTAAGCGATCAAACCGTGTATCTGCTGATTACGATAAGCGAGCAGCCCCATGGGACCACCATACCATACCATACCACACCATACCACACCACACCTCTGTGGTCTGACCGGAGAGCGTCCTGCCCGACTGGTCCACCAGCGTACCCGATACGAAGAGAGGGACGTCCGTGATCCCTTGCTCCTCAAAGTACCTGCCGTAGCGTGAGTGAAAGGTTAACGTCGGCAACAACCGACACACGCGGGGAGAAGCTTGGCAACCAACGAGCAAAGTGGTACAGCCGAAACCAAGGCACAGGCCGCAGTTTGTTGTGCTGTCGTTCCATCCATTCAAGGCATTATGGCGACAGTCCTCCCATTTTTCGTGGTGAGACGTGTATTGCACGTGTTTCAGTGTACGTAAGAGTAATACACTTTTCAGTTTATTTTTTCGTACATCTACAAACATCCAGGGTCACACAGGAGGGGGATGACACCGGGGATTTTTTATTCTTTTTCTTTTTGTTTTCGTGCCCCACCTTCCTCCTGCGGCGCGTGCTGATTTTTTTCCTATCGCGACAAGGGTCCAGCCGTCCCTTCCCTCGTCAACGGTACTGACGTCGATGTTTGGTACTCCCGAGCGTTTCAGCTTTTTCGCTTTCATCCGCAAATTCGTACGTTCTTCACTCCATGGGGATTCGAACTCACGACTCTGCCACTACTCTAGAGGTTTCGAGGTTACCACCAGACCACCGAGGCGACCGATAGCAGGGGTGAGTCAATTGCAGAGTCATGTATCGTCACGTGACGCAGAAGAAAAAACGCAATTGGATACACCAGCCGGGACGCTTGCCGCCACGGTACTGGCCTCCATCGCACGTGGGGGGGGGAGGTGACCCCTGTCCCCGGGTGTGCCGGCAACGCCTTGGTGCATCGAACTCCTCGCCCTGGCCCGAACCCGATACACTTGCACAAGTGTATATTAACAGCGCAAAACGTGCAACACCGGGCAAATCCGGAGCTGGACCCTTTCACTCTTGATTTGTTACGATTTACTTGACGTCACACACGAAGAGAAAACGACCACCATCTTTGTAAATACGAATGCATTTGGACTTACTCTCGAACCGCAAACACTGCGGCCTTTGCGTTAAGCGTGTCGAAGATAGTCTCTACGATGATGATGTCCGCCCCGCCGTCGATCAAGCCCTTGGTCTGGTCCTTGTAGGCCACCACCAGCTCGTCGAACGTTACGTTTCGGAACGAAGGGTCTTCCACATCCTGCGCGGGTTGCGGATAGGTTTGCGTTGTAGAGTGAATGGATTGGTCGAGAGTTTACCCTGTCGACCGAATGGAACCATCCGATTGGTCGATTGACTGGTCGACAGATTTACACCAACGGACCGGACACCGGTCGCGCTTTGAGTGCAAAAGCTCTCCCATGAGCAGAAATACCAAGAGAGGCAGGATTACAAACGTGTGAAGAGTAATCCTCGAAGGGACGACCTGTCCAACCCCCCTTTCCGGCAAAAGGTTTTGGAAACTCTACGCGATCAACGAACAAATCCCTCTCAGCAAGCAGTACTCGGCGGCGCACCCACCAAAGCACTCCCCTCTACACTACTCCGTTGGTTTCACCGCCTGGGCGATGGACCAAACCCTGTGCGTGCGCTCGTAAGCTTCCTAAGAAGGCAACAAGTCTCACCGGAGAGATGGATCCCGTCCGGTTAGTGGGACCGAGGGCTCCCATCACGAAGCGCGGCTTGGTAGGGTCCTTGGCCGTGGCCTCTTCGCAGGCCTTCCTCGCCAGGCGGGCGCTCTCGAAGTTGAGCTCGTAGACGTCCTTCTCCATCTCGTAGTCGGCCATAGCGATCGTGGTCCTGTGCCATCACAAGTATGTACATATACAACAGGGGGATAATTTTGTTTCAGGAATTGGTGTGGCGGTATAGTGGTATAAATACATTGCGCAGGAAAGTTGGTGCACAGCTTTCATATGAAATGTAATTTGTTGGGTTTGTAGTAGGCCTTGTGGAGAAATTATTCAGTTTCCATGTGCAGGGATCCTTGGGCAATACCACTGTAGCGCACAAGAGCAAAGGTAGTCGTGGAGGAGCACGATGATTTTGACCCAGATTTTACTCTCAATATGACCCAACGAATCCATCTCGATCTATAGAAAAGAGTCTAGAATAGGTAAGCAACTTCCAATTCTTCCTCCTCGAGAGAACTGACTCTTGAAAGACAAAATCTCCCAAAATATTACGCGAGGCATCCCCCACTGAACACCGTCGGTTTCGTTCGCATCCCAGGCACACACACACTCACGCTGAGAAGGTGTTGGTGCCGATGATGTCCGAGCCCGAGTCTAGGTATTTGGTGTGGATCTCCTTGATGATATGCGGCTGGGTAATGGACAGCATGTCGTTGTTCCCCTTGACGAGGATGTGGTAGTCCTGCAGCATTGGCACGTTCAAGATCAACAGGGCGCGTCAGCCCAACCCCACACATCCCGCAAGAGTCGACGCTAAAATATGCATACCTTATGACGTCTGCTCAGGGCTTCCATACGTTTCAGATGAAAAACTGAAAAAGGAAGGGACGTACTAACTCTGCTGTGTATTAACTGCTATTAGTATCGACCGTGCTAACCGACTGACCAACGAGAGTACGCCAGTCTTACTTCATGGTGGCCGAAAACAGTAAATGCTTCTACAAAGGCCATGATCTTGGGGCGCGTGGGGGGTCGTCATAGAGGAGGATAAGCTGTTCTCCGGACGAAAGACAGAAACGACACCAGGTATGTAGCAAACGAAAGAAGGATGCACATGTCAGTCTACCAAAGGCTGCTACTGCTGCTGTGTGCGTCTGTTCGTCCCATTTATTCTGGCGCCAGTCTACAAACCTCTCGGTGAACAAGTTCAATATGTTTGACGTAGCATATCAGCCGGGGTAACAAGAGGAAGGTCACACAGAGAATATTGTTGTGTTTGATTTTTGGTTGAACTGGACGAATAGATCTTGCCACATGCCTGCTAGACGCGCAACTCTACATATTCTACAACCAGCAGGAGCGGTGATGAGACAACCGCTACGCACTTGTGACGCCGGGATGTACGCGAATATTCTTGTGAAAGAGAACGGGCAACACCGCATGGGGCGGAGGGATAGCACCCCCGCTAGACCGATTTTCACAGCTCGCTTGCTCCACCACCAAGGTTGAGCCGACACCAAAAATGGTGGTTTTGGAACCATCTCGTCGAGTGTTTTCCGTAGACGTATCGGGCTCTTTCCGCACCCCCTTGGTTGTGGAGCAATCGAAGCGACCTTCGAAAGTCGGTCTATGGGGGGGTGCTATCTCTCCGCCTCTTCCGGTAGGATTACACGCTTTTGACAACGACAGATCGGCCCGAAGAGCTCAACCTTTTCTCACGCATTATGCTTTCTGACACATGTTGGTCAGAACCGCGACCCTACCCCGTGGCGGCGTAGCCTACGCGCGACACAACAGCAGCACTGCTGCTACTGCTGCTGTAGTACAAGAAATTAGTTCTTTTGAGTACAAGCTCAGTCTCCACACGGTGCCGCGACGGGTAAACTTGATGTTATTTAGTGCACAGAAATTGCATACATAGTACTTGCTTCGTAGCAGCCACCTGTAAGTGCCGAGAAAATGACTGTTTTGTGTTTTGTGTTGCCAATCGATGGGTGAGTGGAGTGTTTTTTGGCGCAACATCACGAAGTTTGTGGATTTGCACCGTTTCGTTTATTCGTTCTCGACGAAAGGTACTACGACGAAGAGGCAGTATTAGTCTAGTTATCGGCATTACGTTCAGTTGGGCATACACGAGAACAAGTATTTTTCATGTCGGCACAACATCAACCAGCGACCTTGCGCTTCCTACACTGCACTGCTGTACGTGTAGTACTCGCCGAAAATCTCGTTCTGTGTCGAGTTTCC